TTAAGGGTTAAAAAAAAAAAAGCCAGCAAACAAGTAGAAGGAAAAGAGGAAGAGGAAGAAGATGAGGTCGAAGGCCCCAGACGGCCGATTCCGATCGATCTGCCACGGAGATGCGTATTATAGCTGGAGCCGTTAGTTAGCATAACTAAGCCCCCCCCCTGTGGACTCCGGATGATATGCAGCATATCAGATACCTAACTGGCTGGCCAGCGTCAGCGCAGCTATAGCAGTCTTGTACATACTTACTTAGGACAGGTATAGCGTCCGGACTATAGATGAAGGGGACAAGGGCGGCCGTAGAGAATAGAGTAATGAAATCCGGAGCATGGGCTTCAGCGCTCTCCACGGGCTCGCATGACATGACCTATCTCGAACATTCGTGCGGCCGCGGCGAAAGAACCGTGGGAAGAGAGAGAGAGACATGCCAGGACAGGCCCGTGGGGAGCTCGCATCTGTCTCCGTGCATCAGCAACCGGCATCATCGTCATCATCGTCATCCCGCAACGACGTCCTGAGTTATGCTCTGGCCATGACGAAATAATGGGAACCACAACCAGAGTTAGCAGTTAGCTCGCAGGACACACATCTAACTTAACCGTGAGTTGAAGAGTGAGTTAGACTGCACGGGAGAGAGATGTGAAACCCACCGCGAACTCTGGCAGCCAGTTGCTAAAACTCGGGCGACCCCCAACCTGCGCGCTCCCCCATCTCCATCCCTTCTGCGGTCGTATTGGCCCTTGAAGCCCATCGAGGTGGAGCCGGCGTTTCTCTCCCGCGCGCTCGCTGCGACCTGACGTCATGGCTGGCGCTCATCTCGACGCTCAATGGCTGGCCGGGGGGGGGGGAGGGTTTAGTACACTGACCGGACTGACTGGGGGGGGGTGGACAGCGGACAGCGGACAGGGGGGAAAGGGGGCCGACTGGGGGGACTGGGGACGCTGGACTGGCCCAGATGTATACACTTTTTTACACCAACTCTGGCGCTGGCCTCGAGAGTTATGACTTCACTCTGACTTCACATTGACTTCACACTCTCGACTTACATAAACCGTCGGGGCAAGGAACAGGGACGCGGTCTTCAGGGGGTCAGGGATCAGGGATGCGCAGATAGGCTTTAGGGCTCTCGCCTGCCCGGCCTGCGAGTGGTGCGCCTGTCCAGAAGGGCTGAGGAAGGTGACATAATAGCAACCCGGCAACTAAACCTCCTAGAGTCGAGTCTCTGGGCTACTTTAGTGATGGCGGAGTTTGTGAATATAGGCACATGCACGATCGGGAATATAAGACAAAAAGGGTTCGGGATGGCGAAAAAGGAGGATGGGCCCCCCGGGTGTTCCACAAGGCTTTCTTGGGCTGTGAGAAAAGCTCCATGATGCCGAACAGTGATGACGCTGCTGAAACGACCGTGCTACTGGCCCTGACGCATGTAGGATGGTTAGCCGGCTGCATGTATGTGAATATGCGTGTATACATATCGTGATGTGCATGAGGGAGTGCATGAGAGACCGAGTGTGGGTGTTGCTTCTATATGTTGGGGTTTGGTATATAAGAGGCCCGGGGAGCGATATTAGATCGCGATGCATCCATGCAACTGGTAGATATATATATATACATATATACATATACATACACTTGGCTGCCATCTAGACGTTATTATTACACTGCTCGTCGGTTGGTCAGAGTCGATGTCACTGGAGCGTATCTGCGCCGGCTATTCTCCTGTCTCGGCAATTGTCTCTCGGCGTCAGCCAGCCATGAACATTCCGAGAGAGTCTGGGTCTGTCTGTCTGTAAATCTCGGTCCGTAGTTATAGTTATCCGTCTGTCACCCTTGTTACATAGTTTATCAAGCAGATCGTGTTGCCATGGCTCACGTGTAGTGTATAACTGCAAAAGATGAAAGGGTACAGCTCCCCCCCTTTTATCCACTGCATATATGTATATAGGGAGTTGCATCAACAGACTGCCGTTGATCCCAATTGAACACGCATAGAAGTCTCGCCCTGGGTCTTCACCAGCCCAAACTATCGACATGGATCTCCCGTCTGTCTGTCTATCTGTGTCTTCTGCGCCTCCTCCTCCGTAACTCCCCTCCCCCCCTCCCCCCTACCTTGAGAAGGGTATGCAAACTCAAAGTACAACCGCATATCAGTAATTAAATTTGTAAAAAAAAAAGGACAGCATCCAATCCCTACCCGCATATACATACATTGAGGCAAATCACCCAACCAACGACTTTAGCTCTCCTGTCTGGCCTTATCTGCGTCTACGAAGTTTCTAGTGCTGCATTAGTTAGTTATCCCAAGGGAAAAGAAAAAAATATAGGGACGACAAACGAGGCAGCGAGGGAATGTTTTCCCTTCCTCGGCAGCGCAGCGCATATGCTATGCTGACTGACAGCCCTTGGTCCTCTTTAATTTACAGTAACTGTCCCGTCGACTGCTCTCGGTACTTCTCGCTCGCTGCTGTCCCGGAGATATTGGCAACCGATCTGAGATTCAGTTTGGCGCACGGTTAGCAAGCTGGTGCAGGAAGTCAACTGCAGGTAAGTTGAGCAGAGGCCCAGCACAGAACTTTGCGCAGGGGCGGGCGGTTTGACTGATTGACTGATTGACTGATTGATCGATCGATCCCGCCGATTGACTGATACTTTTGTTGGCACCTCCTGATAACTAACTAGACGGGTGACAGAGTTACAAAGACGCCGGTAGTCCAAGCAGTTGATATGAAATGCTAATCTATCCCGTGCACAGGGAGTGGTGACGTCGGCCATTCGTTGTGGAAGCCCTCATTGTCAACGATCGATCGACGCAGCAGAAGTGTATTTTTGGGCGAGAGTTATTTATCATCAATCATATATCACCGTCCGTCCACTGCAGAAGAAGCGGGAGAGGGGGGTGTGCGTGTGCGTGCGAGTCTGTTTCTGCTAGGGGCACCCAGGCAAAGCAAAAAAAAAGGGGGGGGGGAGGGGGGGGAAGTGTGTGGTAGGGGGGCTGTTTGATAGCGTGGCAAAAGCTGCGAAGTGTAAGTGTAGGGCAGAGTGGACACAGAAAAGTGGTCAACTTCCGACCGTTGGGGCTTTATTATCTTATAAGGCAGGGATAAAAGGCCGGCGGTCGTATTTTTTGTAGCCCTACTCGAGTATACAGGCCTGCGTGAAACAGAGGGAGGTGTTGCATTACCCGGTTGTCTGCTGGTGGGCGGCGCGGCGTTGATGCCGCGGATGGAGGCCGCGAGGGAGACGAGAGAGCCCACGACGGTCTCGGTCTCGATGGCTCTCTCTGCCTCAGGGCGGCTGCTCCGTACCCCGTATCCATGCATTCCACGCCGAAGCAAAGCACGGAGCCAGACTCCAAAAAGCTAGAGCTGCAGACGAGGAGAGTCCAGCGGACGGGTGCTGGTCGAGAGAAGCGCATCTGAGATATACTGAGATCAAGGGAGCTCGATGGCGTCAAGGGACCCCCACAGATTATGTCCCCATCGACGCTATGGGCTCTCGCTGCGTCTACTTGTCATATATATATATATATATATATATTGTCAATGGTCTCTGTCTGTTGTTACAGCAGCGGCAAAAGGGAGTAACTACGGGGTAACTGATAGAAGATGCAGAAAGATATCAACACCGACCAACAGCAAGCATCACAAGCATCAGCAGCATCAGCAGCAGAACAGACCAAATGCCGTGGCTCGCCTGGCCCTACGAGGCCTGTGGCGCGCATCTCCACATCTTGGGCTTCCTTTTTATCCTTTTTTCCTTCTTTTTTGCTTCTTTCTTCGTTTCTTTTTTGGCTTTCTCTCTTTCTCCCTTTCTGCTCCAAATCTCCACCCTTAACTATAAAGAAAGTATCGAAAATATATGTGGCGTGTGTGGCAGTGCGAGGATAATAATGGGTATCCGCCTCAACCAGTTGTATGGACGAAGTAGACGAGCAGGCCAATGGAGCAACGGAGAAAGAGGAGCCTGCTGGGCCCCTCGCCGGGGGGAGATTTTCTTTTGGCTCCGAGGCAGAGAGAGCCAGACGACGCAGACGACGAGCCCTTCGGAAACATGGTACGAGAGGGGCTGCAGTACGGAGAAACAAGGGCGCTCTGGAGAAGCAGGAGAGCAAATTGTGGCGAACCAGAAGTCGAGGGCGAAATTGATCGTAAGCCATGAATCATTCGTCATTTCAACTAGTGTCTGATGGGACGGACGAGCGCATCTGTATAGAAGCGAGCGAGATATGGAGAGCCGACCTTTGGTTAATGCAATTGAATTGTAAAAATAATACGAGATAATAATACTTTTTATTAGCAAGATAACATTGGGAAGAACCATTCGAGAACACTTTAACAGTGTGCGATGCTTGTACCACCCCGTCTTCCCAGGCGCAGGAGCAGAGCCAGCCATAGTCATTATTATTATCCTCCGCCTGGGAAGAACAGAAACGGAACAAACCCCAGTTTCTCAACCCTTTTTTCTTACTCCTGAACTCTCCCTCTTTCTTTTGCGTCTGTCTCCTTAGGTTAGCTACTCCAGAGGAAAGTAACTGGGACTGGGAAGGTTATCGAAACGACGGGCCCCGTAGCATAGTTTGATAGTTAGATGGCTCTCACAGGCAGTTCGACGCAACGATCAAGCAGCAGCAGTGCAAGTAGTACCTGGTACAACACCTCTGATGTACCTCCCTACTCGTCCTCCTCCTCCTCCTCCTCCTCCCCCCCTTTTACCCTGTCTCTCCTCCTCTCTCGACCCCCGCCATAGTCGCCCTTTATATACCAGGAACCAGGGTCTGCAAAAAAGTCAACTGCCGGCCAATCCCGTCAGGCCCTTTTGCTGCCCTCTCTCGTGGTTGTTCACAGTAGACGCAGGCCTACCAAATCAACTGACTTGCGCCAGGTGTGGTTCTGCAACAACGGACTCTGCCTGATAGTCTACCAACTTGATATCTAACTAGACCGTCCCCCTACCAAAAAAAAAAAAATAAAAATAAAAATAAAAATAAAAAATTTCACCGACCACCACAACCACAACCACAACCACAACCACAGCCAACCATCCACTACGACGTAACCAACTACCACAACCGCCGAGGCGATGAACATGAACAAACACCGAAAGTCCCCAAAGTACCTTTTGAGCGGCGAAAAAAGGGCCATCGAGCCAAGCTTCTCTGCCCCCGTCTGGATCGGCCAATCACCCCCGAACCCAACCTGCCCTCCCCCGGTCTGGAATGATGGAATATAGCATCATGGGTGGCTTGCTCCTCGGATCGTCTCTCTCGCACAGGAAAGAAAAAGGAACATCACGGCCTGGTGGATGCTCAGTCTTCGAAAAGCATAATCCCATCCATCTCCCTCCCTCTCCCTCTCTCTCTCCCTCGCGTCTCCCCCCGTTGCTTTTTCCTCGCTCATGCAACCTTGCTTTTCCCCCCTTGGTCTTCTGCTTCTTTTTTTTTGCAAAACACCCCCAAAAAAGCAACAAAAAAGCAAATCAGAGTTGCAAAAAAAAAAGAAGAAGAAGAAGAAGAAGAAGAAGAAGAAGAAGAAGAAGAGGAGGACAAGAAGAGATCGAAGGGAGGAGAGGCGCAGAGGTTAGTGATAGTGTCAGTATTTCTAGATGGACCGCGAAGGAAACGAACCGACCAGACCAGACGACAAGACGAGAGACAAGACGAGAGAGACGGAGAGAGGGAGTGAGACGCTGCCTAGAGAGAGAAGAGAGGACGGAGCTCCGTGAAAATGACATAGCTGTGGCCCCACCGGTTGCTTTTCTTTTCTTCTTCTTCTCTTCTTTTCTTCTTTTTCTTTTCTTTTCTTTTCCCGCTCTGCTGCTGCTGCTATCGTCATTATAGTTAATTTCGGACTCGCTGAGAACTGTTGTTCTTCTTGTTGATTGATATTTATTCGGTCTCTCCTCCTGCTGCTTGCCGGGCCTGCATCTCATTCCCTCCCAATCAACCCCACGGGCACCGGGCCAGACGATACCATCCCTGACCAGGATCCTGCAAAGAAGGACATATACTATACTAGATACCGTCCGGGAAGCGGTTCCTTACAAATATATATCTATCTTCAATCGTCTTTTCTTCTCCTTTTTTAATTTTTTTTTTTTATTATTTTATTTTTTTATTTTTTTGGTTTAATTTTATATTTTATATTCTTATTTTTAAGCTCTTTTTCTCTTCCTCCATTTCTTCCTTACTTCCCTTCCCCCCTACCTTTCTAGCTTTTCTACGTCTTCGTTTCTCTCCTCTCCCTTAAGAGAAACTGATCGTCACCACCTTCGACAGGGGAAAGGGTAAGAAAGGCGTGAGTGTGTGTGTGAGTGTGTGTGTGTGCGTGTGCATGTCGAGCAGAGAAAAGGACGGAGTAACAAGCTGTTGTCGTTTTATAAACTACCAAACCGGCTGCTTCGGTTGGATGTACCTGTGAGCCAACAAACAACAACTCCCCTCCCCCCCCCTGGCTCGCCCTTTCACCACCCCCTACCAAAACAGACAGCATCTCCTCCAGCTGCTGCTGCTGCTTCATCAACCGTCTCGACCTCTCGACCCTCTCTGCGTCTCCATCGCCTCTCTTCTATCTAGAGCTAGACCCTCTTTATCCTCGTGGTTTCTCGCCATCCCGGCTCTTACTTGCGCCCTGCTAAGAGAAAGAGAAAGAGGCAAAAAAGAAAAGGCTGCGATTTATCTACCAGCCGCTTTTTCCGGATTGCTCTCTCTCTCTCTCTCTCTCTAAATCCTCGTTCTTCAGTTCTTCATTGAGGTCGGTTTACATTTTTTCTCATCTGGTTGCTTGCAAAAAACGAAACGGACAAGGAGACTCCCGAATGTAGTATACCAACAACTCTTCATACTTCTCTTCTCCCCTTTCCTGCCTCTTTTTTTTCTTTCTGTCTTTCTTTTTCTCATCAATCTATACCCCCATCACCTACACCATAACTTGAATAGTCTTAATCCCCCGGATTGACTCAGTGGTCGAGCTTGGTTGGGTGGCTGTTGTTTTCTTTTACCCCTATTTTATATCATTCTCTACGCCCAGGAGGTCTTTTTTTCTTTCTATCTTCTCTTCTTCTCCTTTCTCTCCCTGAAGTCGACCGGCATGTTTCAAAATCGGTACGTACAGGAAGGAAAAAAGGAGTGAGAAACTTATATATATATACCCCTCCCTGTGATTTGGCTGTCTTTTCGTCTCGTTTCGATTCCTGCTAGTGGACGTCCGCAATTGTCGTATTTGACGCTGAACTGACTGCGGTCTCCAGAAACAACTCCAAAAAACCGGACGAGGCCTTCTACGCACAGTTCAGAAGGAATTTCGTCCAAAACGGCCCCAGTACATTTACTCGGCCGGACTTTAGTCGGTCTCTCACTTCTTCCAAGTTACCCGCAAGTGGACGCCCAATAATGGGCCAGTCACTCGTTCACAGGTTGGTCATCGATTCACCCGCATGATGGGGGGGGGCGTTGAGAGTCCAAGCAGTTCCAGTTCCTCTCCTGTTCGCAGTCACAAGGATTTTTGACCATGGGTGGAGAGAACGTGTTCATTGCCTTGTTGAAAGAGGAAGAGATTTTGCTCCCGGCTGCCGTGCATCACGAGAGAGAGCGTGTCAGTGGAAGAAATTACAGATTTGGCTAACCATCTCGTCTCTTTTTTATTGCTTTGTCGGTACATATAGAGGTGTTCTCGAGCAGCACGATCCCACAAGAAATCACGATCTTTCCTGGGGGTTGTCAACTCAGGTCGGGATGGATCACAGCCAGAACATGTTCGCCCATCTGAACGGCCAGTCGCCCTTTTACTCTACGATTCCCGGCATGGGAATGCACCATGACATGACTAGCCCGCTCGATGACATGCTAAGTCCCCTGATACCTGCTGCCACTACTTCTGTGGATCCTTCCGTTATCTCGAACCAGCCCATCAGCATGGCCGGCATACAACAACCCTATGGCCAACCCATGACACACCAGATGTGTACAATGGCAGGAGACCATATTGATGCGTATGCGCAGCCACATGCATTCCCTCCAACAGCCATGCTGCACAGGAATTCGGATCTAGGCCCTCTCAGTCAAGATAACAGTTCCTTTGCTCAGCTGCAGCTGCGTCGTGGGTCGGCCAGTGTGACCACAGATCAGAAGCAACAGCAGCTAAAGGAGCAGGAATTCTACAATGAAGAGTAAGCTTCACTATTCCAGCTCACACGAGTGGCTTTTTTTTTTTTTTTTTTTTTTTTTGCCTATCTTTGCTTTTTTTTTTTTTTTTAATAACTTGTGTATATTCATTTTTCACTAACTTCTTGTCTTGATCTACTTCTAGCTTCCGGTTCCATGCCGTCCTTCGTGCAGCTACAGCGATGATTAGGGACCCAGATGAGATCCCAATCACATACCTCAACAAGGGCCAGGCGTACACTTTGACCATCTTCGACTCAGCTGCTCTCAGCTCCCCTCGTCGGCCCACAAAATACCGAACCTACATCAGAGTCTCCTTCGAAGAGGAGGAACAAAGGTCAAAGCCTGCTAGCTGCTGGCAGCTCTGGCAAGAAGGACGCGGTGCGAATGAGGCCCATCACCGAGACGGTAAACTCCTCGCCGTCGAACATGTTGACCCTAACCAGGGCGGTGATGGTGACCTGCGCCACCAGCAAGTCCAGCTTGAGAGCGAAAACTTTGACGGGTTCTCGGTAGTTTGGACTCCGAACAGAATCAACGGAAGGCACGAGTGTACTATATCCGTACGGTTTAACTTCCTTTCAACCGACTTCAGTCACTCCAAAGGTGTGAAGGGCATCCCGGTTAGACTGTGTGCCAAAACTCAAGTTGTTTCCGGGATCTCCGAAATTCCAGTACCCGAGTACGCTGAAGTCTCATACTGCAAAGTGAAACTGTTCCGTGACCATGGAGCTGAGCGAAAATTGTCCAATGACGCCACGCATGTGAAGAAACAAATAGAGAAGACCAGAAGCCAGATACTCCAGGCTGAATCTGGTGCTGCCAGTGGAGAGAAAAGAAAACGGAGCGGTTCGATCTCCCGGGGAGGAAGTGGGAACAAGGTCAGCAAGACCCCCAAGTCAAAGCGGTCCTGGTCTCAGGGCCAGGGTGAAAAGGCACCGTTCGAAGACGATCTACATTCTAGGCTGCAGAGTTTCATGGATATGTTCCGCTCCGTGCGACATGCCAGTGTCTTGAACCTCAAGGGTGATCCCGAAGACGATCCCGATGCGTACCCTGTGAGGATAGACCAACCTTCAGAAAACAACAACAGCAGTAATAGCAACAACACTAGCAACATCGTCACCACCACACTTGACTGGGATCCCTCCCAGGCCACCACCGCCCCTACTACCAACGATGGAGCCAACTCACATTCCTTCTCCCCTGCCAGCAGCCATCGCTCTATCACATCCTCTGGCCACTCTTTCGACGTAAAGCCCAATCTGGCTGCGAATGGTGTCATGTTTGGAGACTCACGCCACGGATCTGTGGACTGGTCTGGCTTTGCCTCTCATGACCCCGAGATCCATCCAAAGCACGGTCAGATTCTGAACCACCCAATCAAGATCCAGCGACAAGGCGCTACTGATGCGAATGATGGATGGTTTGAAGCCATGGGCGTAGACCCAAACTACAACCCTCCATCAGACGCGGTCATAGTCCCAAGTATGTCTATACACGTTTCCTTTTTTTTTTTTCATCTGCTTTTTTGTTGTCCTTATACTAACATATATCACCTGCTCCAGAACACTGCTTCTACGTCAAGGCCAGCCAGAATGATGACGAGAAGACTGCAAACTACCACCATGCGATCTACATCCAACAGCGCAATAGCCAGGAATTCGTCGAAGCCCTTGCCAGGAAATGGAAGCTGGACCCTGCCAACGTCATTCGCACCATCCAGGTCCGTGACGACGGCCTCAGCGTCATCGTCGATGATGATGTCGTGAGAGAGCTACCCGAGGGTAAAGACATGGTAGCCGAGTTCCTCCAACTTCGCGAAGAGTCTGAAGGCCCGAACATGGACGTCGACTCTCCTGTCTCACCTGGGGCTGCCGGCCCAGTCGAAATCCGACTGAAGTTCTAATACCCCCTTTCATATTTGCCTCCAGGGACCTTTTGATATACCTATATGGATGGGCAGTAAAGAAGAAGCAAAAGAACATTGAGCTATTAAGAGAAGAAAGAAGAACAACAGAAAACAAAAAAAAAAAAGAAACAAAAAAAAAAAGGGAATACAAAATTCTTTCACCAAGGCAAAAAAAAAAGTACTTCACAGTTTCGCCTTTATTTTGGGAGGGGATGCTTCTTTTCTTCAAAACATCTTTATCCTTTAATAATTGGAGGCTTTTTAATTCTATCTTTTTATACCGAAATTTCTTTTGCCAGCAACCCTCGTCACCACTGACGCCTAATCAAGAATTTTAATGCTTGTCTTCCAACCCGACGGCCTCTCACCAACCAGAAAGACCAAACAGAACCAATTACAGGACACCGGGAACAAAAAAAATTCTGCTTACGGCGTCAGCAATCATAGATGGGTCTCTTCATTTTCTCTTAGCAAAACTCACACGTTCCCGGTGGCTAAATGTACTTGTGTACTCTGTGATTTGAAGGGAAGGGAAAATCGAAAAAAAAAAAAAAAAAGGACCGGGCTGCTGTCTGATTAACGTATGCTTTTTTTTTTTCTGATTTCTTGTTGCCACACACCCCTTCTTCCCTCTGAAATGGCCCTCGGCTATGGGCTAGCTCTTATCAAAATGGTTCCTTTGGCTTACCCCAATCCCCACACGGCTGGATTCAAGGACTTAGGGGAAAGGGAGAAAAAAAAAAAAAAACAAAAGGACGGGCTACATCGACCTAGCCAGACAGGCCTGGCTAGGTTGGTTTTATATCTGACGACTACGACGAATCTCTTTTGTACGGAGTACACGCGGCTGGACTAGGATGGGGCGGTGGACTGGCTTGCTTTCTTTTTGCCGTTTTCTTTCTCTGGTGTGCTGCTTTCCCGATGGAGTGCCTCGCTTTTACTTCTTCTTTTTTTTTTCTTCGCCTGATCTTGCTGTTACTCTCCTTCTTCCTTATTCTTGCTCCTTTTTCTTTTTTATTTCTCCTCGCTGCTAATTTCTCCCTTTCCTTTTGACGGGCCGAATTCTCCTTACCCTTTTTTTTTTTTTTTTTTTTTTCCTCGCCCTCTTGATATCTTGATTTACTTTTATATCAGAGCAGTAATTCTTTTTTTCTCCCGTGTATATTTCTTTTTTAAAAGGCTTTGCTTTCTAGTTCCGTTTTTTTCTTTTCTTTGCCTGTTGGCTTGCTGCCATAATATGAATTATCCCGTCTTTCTTTCATTGGGGCCTGCATGCCATGCCGTCTTTTATGCAGAAACGGGGCAATGGTCATGTAACATTTCTCCCTTTCAGGCACATGCCAGGCCTGCCAAGGGTAGAGAGCTGGGACATGCATGTATAATAGCCACAAGCTAGAGTATGCCAGTGACTGAAGTGTAAAAAGCCACTACCCTTCTCAACCTTGTTGTCCCTTCTAGCAGATCCTGTCCTACATAGCTGGCTAGGCTAAATAGCAACATATATGTAAGGGTATCGGCCGTTTTACCTTAGAATCATATCATTAATCAGGCGCCTTAAGAGTACAGAATAAACTCTATCTCACTGTAAGCAACAAGTAAGAAGAGTAGGACTGAAAAAAGGAAATGAAAATAAAGAAAGAAGAAAGGAATAGAACAACGAGGAACAGGAGGAAGAGAGAAAAAAGGTTGATACCCTAAAGGAGGACAGAAGTTAACTGTAAATGAGGAAAGACATAGCTGGCTGCTCTGTGTCCCCCCTTTTTCTCCAATCTAGTGACAACTAATAATGCATAGGAAATCTGGGCAAAACAAGCCTGCTTATGCATGTGGACTGAGGTGACGTCATCTTATATGTTGCACCTCCTCTAACTCTCCAGGAGATATATCAGATAGTTGTGTCAAAGCGCCAGTATCTAGCCCACCCAAGCATGCCAGAGCTGCTATAACTGATCCTCTTGGCATATTTGCTACACAGGATAGACTATAGTAAGACGGGAGATGTACCTGTAGAGATATACATGCAAGTACCAGCAGAGTAAAAGAGGAGGGTTGAACACCCAGTGAACACACTGTAGCAGCCTCTTGTCTAAAAGTGAGGCTTATGCACTATGACGTTATCACCCAGCCTTAGCGCCCTTTTCTCACGTGGCAGTGGGTTCCTGTGTGGAGGTTAGCGTAAAATATTAAATTTAACCTCCCGTTGCTTGGCTATCTTTAATTATCAAGATTGGAGATGAAAGGGGGAGCATGTTGGGGATAGGAGCTCTGTTTTATAAGATATCTGCTGGTTTACTTGCTCTTTTGTGGTTTGTTTACATGTCTGGTGGGGAGAGAGACACACAAATAAGATGGGGTCGAGCAATTGAGTCGGTAGGAGCAGAGAACATGTACATTTCAGGGGCAGCATGCATAGGGGAGGAAGAAGATGTAAAGCTGCAGTAAAGGAAGTAGAAACAGCCGTTTAAACGACCTCCATTGTAGCTTATATGGAATATCTCTAGGCGGATTGGCGT